ACAACAAAAGTAACCCCAACAGCAACCGCCAAAACAATCACACCAGCAGCAACCGCCCAAACAACAGCATCAGCAGCAACAACAGCAAAAACAACCACAATCGCAGCAGAAACAGCAACAGCAACAGCACAAATTCGCCTCTCAATCGACCACCAAGTCCTCTACCTCCTCGAAAACCGTCGAGCACCAACCCAAGGGCGATGATCGTCAGAAGACCATCGACCATCATCAAAAAGCGGACGACCGCTCTCAGAGGATAGGTCCTCGAGCTCCCAATCCCAAAGACCCTCAGAACCAAATTACCGATAAATCCTCCGAACCCCACACTTCCTCTAAAACCAAAACCCAAGAAAAATTGCCCCTTGTCCAACAATCCTCCAAAACCACTCTCATCGTATCGACCAAAACTCTGGTCGAATCCGGCAAGAGTGATGACGGTGGGCGAGAGTCAGCCTTGGGCAAGCGCTCTCGAACTGAGCAGGGCGAGATCGTTGCCAAGCGGGGGCGTGCGGGCTATTTTCCCTCTGATCCGCTAGCCCCAAAATCGACATCTCTCTTGTCGGCCCCCGTTAATGAGGTGGCCGACCGCCTCGAGGGCGCCCTTCTCGAGGATGATCGCAAGAAGGCCGGCGTCACGCTGCCCGAGATTGGCGACAAACTCGTGCAGTGGTTTGCTCAGGTATTACTCCTCTAACTCTACCCTGGTTCTTCTCCTTTTTCTTTGTCGATTCATGCGTTGAACTGCCTTGTCTCCTCTATTGATAGGGCTTGGTCGATTTTTTTCCACTGGCCAAGGAGGCTCGGGATAGCTCGGGCAAGTCGATTAAGGCTCTCGAGAACACCGTTGGCTATCTGCAGGACAAAAATTCGACCCTCCTGCAGCATAATGCCAAACTCCGCGAGACACAGACGGAACAGAAAACTGAGTTCGACGTCAATATTAAATCTCTCGACGAAGAACTCAGTAATAAAGGAAAGGCTCTCGCGGAGAGAGATGCTGCTCTCGCGGCCAAGGAGGTTGCCGTGGCGGAAAAGGAGGCCGCCATGAAGGAAAAAGAGGCTTTGCTCGATCAAGAGCGGACTGCTCGAGCTGAGGCGGAGAAGGCTCAACTTGATGCGGAGAAGGCTCGAGCAGAGGCGGAAAAGGCTCGGGCTGAAGCAGAGAAGGCTCGGGTTGAGATGGAGGCCACTTTGGCCAAAGAAAGGGCTGCCCATGCTGAGGAGAAGCAAAGATATGCAAATGTCACTGCTCTTCGAGCTCGACAGATGCTTTGGGCGACGACCACTGGGCAGCTCTTCCTCCGCGAACACCGCGCGCAAGTGGTGGCTGACTTCATGCAGTCACCACAATACTTAAAGGAATTGAAAGATTTCGGGGTAGACTGCTTTCAGTTTGCCCTGCAAAAGGCCGGGGAGCAAATTGCTGAAGATGATTTCGAGCAGCTCGACCCCTTGGCTATTTGGGATTCTTTGCCCAAGGTACCCTCGAGCTTCCGCGGGGACCCTTCCTTGCCAACCCGAGCATGAATGGTGGTCGGGTCAGCTCGAAAGAACCTTAGGCCGATCAAAAATTCTAAAGAAGATCTTCGCTCTGCCCGATGATACTACTCCTCCAACTGCCATGTTGGTCGCAATGGCTGAACTATTCGACAATGCCCTCTTAATGAAGCCTGCGATTCGACCTCTGGTACCGGCCTTCAGCTCGACCCTAATGCCAGCTCGAGCAACGCAGACTCCGCCGCCGCTCCTCCACCATAGATTAGCGTTGTATTTTTCGTTTTGTCTTTCTCGAATCAAACTATGTACCGTGATGAATTTTGTAATATCTTTGGAATGGAAATGTTTTTGCTTTCAGTTTGTCTTTATCTTTTATAATGCTTGTGGGTAATTAGACTTGGTGTTCTCGTTGTAACTCTTCTATCTGGAGGATTAAAGCAAACTCCAAGGCAGGATCGATGTGGACTTTAATATATATGATCAACAGGCTTTTACTGGTCGGCCTATTCTTCATTTATCGAATCAATGTTTGTGTATATATACACATGCCCACCCCTGGAGGTGGTCGAAGCATGCGACCGTCCAGCCTCGAGGCCTTAAACATGACGGGTTTTAGAATTTTGAACACATGTCCACCCCTGGAGGTGGTCGAAGCATGCGACCGTCCAACCTCGAGGCCTTAAACATGACGGGTTTTAGAATTTTGAAGTTGCGCCCTTTTTAATGCTTGTGCCTTCGTGCTTTCCGTGTGTGGTCTCCTTTTAGTCTTCACACATGCCCACCCCGAGGAATGTTCTAAACAGGAGGTCTTCGACCAACCTGCCCACCCCAAGGAACGTTCTAAACAAGCGACCACCCAGCCCGAGGGCCTTAGTCATGGTGGGT